AAGGACATTTCTTGAGACAATGGGGAAACTTGAACAACGTGGATTGAACAGCATCATGCTGCAATGATGGCTCCTGGTGAGATGTCCTTGTGTGTGGGCAGGATACATTGGATACTGTTGATGACGAGGATTTCTGTAGAAAACCCACTCATAAATGTTTTTTCCTTTTCTTCCTTGCCTCTCCCTTTTTCTTCTTTATCCTCTACTGCAAGGCATTGAACCTGGGGCCTCTGAAAGCCACATGCCCTGGTTATAGCTCCGTCCCTGTTCCTGCAACATTTGAGATCATCACAAAACAAAACAAAAAAAATACCAAAGCTCAGTAATCAAGAGCACTTACTACCTTTTCAGAGAACTAGAGTTTGGTTCCTAGCACCCACATTAGGTAACCGACAGTAATCTGTGACTCTAGCTCCTGGGGACCCAACATGAACCTCTGGCTTCTTGGGGCACCTGGATTTATACCCACATGCAAACACAGACACCTTCACATAATTAAAAATAATAAAAATACACCTTAAACAAACAAAAATCTAAAACCAAGAAGCAAGTGACAGCAATTAGTTTCAAAGGAGTAGTATGGCTGACTTAGCTAGCTTTCTGTTGCTCTGATGAAACACCATGACCAAAAATAATATTGGGAGGGAAGGGTTTACTTCACTTTCATTTTTACAACAGAGCTCATCCCTGAAGGAAGTGAAGACAGAAGCTCAAGGCAGGAACCTGAAGGTCAGAACTGAAATAGAGGCCATGGAGGAGTGCTGCTTTCTGGCTTGCTCACCATGGCTTGCTCAGTCTGCTTTCTTATATACATACCAGGACCACCATCCCAAGAGAGGTGGCACCACCCAGAATGAACAATGGTCAGTTAAGAAAATATACCACAAACTTGCCCACAGACCAATCCGGAGGGGCATTCTCACAAATGAAGTTCCCCCTTCTCAAATGACTCTAGCTTATGTCAAGTTGATATTAAACTTAAAACAGCAATGGCTATCAGGTGCAAAGAAACTTGTTTGTGTGGAGGAAGAGTCAAAAAGGAAATGAGGTGCAGACATGGGTGGCAGAAACCAAAGACGAGGCTAGCAGTGGGCTTGGAGATGAGCTGAACCACATTTTTAGAAAATGGACAAAGGGAGGCTCAGAGAAGTTTAGCAACTTGTTCAAAGTAAGCAGAACCAAGATTAAACCCCAGTGTGTATAATCTCAGAGACAATGAGAGGGTAGAGAAATGGTATCATCAAGCTAGGGAAGACAGCTCAACCTTTGCCTCCAGACACTGGAAAGGGTATGGAAACTGAGGGGGAAAACAATGGCTTGCTATTGCTATGGACGCCAGAATGTGAATAATCTGAAGAAACGTGTCTGTTGAATTTTGGGGAAAACAGAAGAAAAAGCAAAGGAGGAAAATGTGGACAAACACCCTCACTAATATGTGAGAGGAAGCAGGAGTCCAAGGAATTTGAAGAGGGCATGGCGGTCTGACAGACTTTCAGTCCCCATTTCTTGGTTTATACAACTTGTATGGACTTGCTTGTAATAGAAAAATAGAAAAACTTAGAAGACATCACGTCTGTGCTGGATGACATTCCAAAAACAAATGTGCCTTCCATCTTGTTAGCCTCTGCTCCTTGCTATCTCTTCCTCTCAATAAGTTTTCCATCTTAGACAGATCCACAAGGTAAAGATCTGAGGGTTTGAACTTACAGGCAGTGTGAAACATGATGTGCAACAACCATCAACAAAGTGAATCCTGCCCCAAGCCAGACAGGTAAGCTTGGGACTGGATTCTGCCCCAGCAAAACCGTGATGGAGACTTGCTAGACATTCTGGGCCAACACCTAGTTTGTACCTATGAGAGAATGATATAGGATGCCCTTCTGTATGATGTGATTATGTGTTTCTCTTATTGGTTGAGGAATAAAGCTGTTTTAGCCAATGACCAGGCAGAATATACCTAGGTGGGAAATTGAAAGACAGGGAGAGAGAGAAGGTAGAATTGGAGAGATGCCATGTAGCTAGTAGGGAAGCGAGATGCCAGGGCATCACCATAAGCCACAACCATGTGATGATGCATAGATTAATAGAAATAGGTTAATTTATAAGAGAGAGCTAGCCAGTAATAAGCCTAAGCCATTGCCCAAACAATTGTAACTGATATTAAGCCTCAGAATGGTTATTTCATAAGCAGCTGTGGGGATCTGGTGGGTGGGGGGAGACCTGTCCAGTGGGACTGGTGGGATGGAGAAAAATCTTCACCTAAAAGGGAACCCTGCTAAACTGTGCTTAGCTTCTGACCCCCAGAAACTGAATGAAGTATGTGTTGCTGCAAGGTGCAGGGGTCACTGGATAGATTATATTGTCAAAATTCAAGGACTCTACTGTTGTAAATTCATTTGCTAAAGTTTATTCATATCCTCAAATCAATCCTATGGCACTTTCACGGCCATTTGTGAACACGTGCAGAGTGGAGGCTCCTTTGCATTGCCTGAGCTAGGAACTCCAGGAGAGGCTGGACAGTGGGCTGCCTTTGCTTCGGCTAGCCTGCTATAAACACGTGAGCTTTCCTTTAGATTTCCTTCTGTCCCTTTTTGTTGATTTCATGATTTAAGAGCACTGCTAAGTGGAGTGAAGTATCGCTCAATGTTTTAAATGCACAAGGGCTATGCTGGGTCTTCTTTTGCTATTGCGTTGTTCTGCTACTTGGAGTCAGATCCAGGGTCTTCAGTGTGATAAGCCCGGGCCTTACAGAGCTACACCTCCAGCCCTGGGGCTTGTCATCTGGAGAGACTGCCTGCGCGGAGAAGCTCTGCTCTGGCATGGGATGTATTCAAGGTAAAAACATAGTAAATAGGTGTTTTTAAACAGAGAGAGAGAGAGAGAGCGCGCTACTGTGTTGGTCAGTTGATGGAAATGCTGTAATCAGAAGTTCCTACTGAGAGAGAGAGAGAGAGAGAGAGAGAGAGAGAGAGAGAGAGAGAGAGAATGCTACTGTGTTGGTCAGTTAATGGAAATGCTGTAATCAGAAGTTCCTACTAACTGAGCCCTGTGTCTCCTCCCTCCACAAAGGACTGATTGGTGTGCACTAATTCATGCTGTGTGAATTTCATAGAACAGAACCATCATGAACAATGAGAATCAACCACAACTTGTTAATGAACATGATGGACAACTGGGTAATTTGTCTTGCCCACCCGAGAGGGGAGAGTTTCCAAAGGAAATCAAGGTCAAGTGTCCAGGGCTGTCTGTTCCTCACTGGGGACGAGACTGCAGAAAAAGACTGCAGTTATTTCTGTCAAAATAGTTAAAAAAAAAAAAACAAAAAAAACAGGTTCCTGGTTAAGAAGCTTATTTTAAGGGCTGGAAAGCTGACTCAGCTGTTAAGAGCACTTACTGCTCTTGCAAAGGACAGAAGTTTGATGTCCAACACCCATGTCGGCTGGCTCAGTCACCTGTAACTGCAGTTCCAAGGTTTTCTTCAGCCTCTTTAGGCACTGCATGCACATAGTGCACACATAGGAGGGTAGACAGACAGATAGACAGACAGACACACACACACGGACAAATGCATGCACATGAGAAAAAGAAATAGAACTTTAAGGAAGGTTAGTTATTTTGGGAAAACATAAATGCAACTATGTAGGAACATTAGCCACATAGAGAATCTTCTACGCTGTAAAGCCGAAAGCCGTGTGTAGATCAATGCTTCAAAAGTCATCAGTTGAATGAAGAACTCCACGACAACCTAGAATGATGGAATGGAGGCAGCTCCTGGCAAGGCTTTTGCACACCAACACAGCCAAGGCATTGAAAGGGCACAGGAGACGATGCAAACAGGCATAGTCCTTTGGAGACGCAGACGGCCTAAACACAGCTTTTCCATGACCTCCCCTGAAAGGCACGGCTTTGGTGGCTGAAGGCTTATTCACTCCATAAGACTCCCTTTTATTGGAATTATTAATTAGGCTCCCACTCCACCCGTCATCTCACACCCTGCACTCACTCCAAAGCGTGGGCTAGCTAAGTCCTTGAAAACACATGGGTTTGCAGAATGCCCCTCTTTGTTTAGCATGCGTGTATTTTGGGAATTTATTTTTAAACGTTTCTACCTCTGCCCTGTGATTTAAGTGCTCCTCTGTTCGTGTGGCTTGCTGCTCTTCACAGCTGTGCCATGTGGAACAGTGCGAGCCCACCCCACTCTCCCACCACCTTGGGCGCTGGCAGCCAAATGAACGTAACTGTCCTTTTTGCCACAGTCTGACATTCTTTCATTTGTGATTAGCTCAGCCTTCTCTTTGCTTCTTCCCCTCCTTGCTTCTATATCTGCCAGAACTCATGCTGAGAAAACAAAAATCCTCCGTTTTTGTTAATGCGTTTGTTGATTCAGAGTGCGGTGACCATAGGAGTGTGATTCTGGGCCGGGTATACGACGTGGTGCTGGGGATTGAACTTAGGGCTTTGCATATGTGAGGTGAGCACTCCACCAACTGAGCTATACCTGCACTCTCCCACACTATATATTTAGTTTAAAAAATATAGTAGTGCTTTTAAACTCTGGTTTTGCCTAAAAGCTATGAAACTTCAAGAAACAAAGACTCCAGAAAAGAAAAAGGAGGGGAGAGACAACAGAGGTCAAAATGACAAATGCCAGCTGGGAGGCGCCCGCCTTTGATCCAGCACGTGGAGGGCAGCCAGTTTGGTTATACAGAGAAACCCTGTTCAAACCAACCAAACAAACAAACAAAAATGGCAAATGCCTCTTTGCATGCATGCATGCATGTCTCTGTGCATGTGTGTACCTGTGTGCGTGTGTATGCCTGCATGCGTGTGTATTGCTGGAGATCAAATAGAGAACTTTGCTCATTCCAAGCACACGTTGTACCACTGAACTATACCCCCAGCATTTTAATTTAAACTGTACCCCAGTACATTTTAATTTAAAAATAAATACGTTATGAAAAGCCAAGTGACAGAGAAAGGCACACTCAAGTAACTGTGAAATAAGAGGATACTTCCAAAACGAGAAGCTCTTTACCCGAGGAGTAAATGATACATTTTGAAAGTACAGAGCAAAGAACTCCAAGACATGAAAGGTGATGCTAGAAAGAGGATAATATAGTTTAGACTTCCAGGAAAACCAAAATATAGACAGTTTGCCTGTGGCAAGTGCCAAGGATATCACGCTCCTGCAAAGGGAGACCACAGAGTTTCACTAAGTTGAAAAAGGAAACCGCAAAATGTGGAATCTAATTTTATTTCAGAGTTACACAGCGAGGGTATATAGATATATTCTTACATATTTTCATATTTTTAATCCATACTGTTTAGGTAGAATTTATTTGTTTACCAAAACAAGTCTAATATATACTTTACTCTCAGCAATCCAATACATGTAGAAAACTCTTTCAATATATAAAATGTTAATTTGTGCACACCTAGATAGTTCTAAAGTAGCAGACCACAGGGGCATGTGATAAGACAGGGTTGTGCAGAACCATAAAGGAATCCTCACGATTACATCCTAAGAATGGAGGCTAAGGGGAAGTGACTTCCTTGCTCATCAGGATGCCCTAGGGAGGAACTGTATACAACACTGTATGGCTTCAACAGGAACTTCGGGCTTTCCTCCATCCCTAGTTGTTGCCCTCAACAGCTCATTCTTCATTACCTATCTTCTGTGCAGATTTTTGGTCCATCCCTTAGTCAAAAGCCAGCTAAACAGTCACTACTACTTAGAGTGAAAACACCACCCTGGCCCTGATGACCCCTCGGTGTTCCCTTACCTACAGATCTACAGGAAAAAGTGCAAAGAGTTCCCAGCAGTCCAAACCAAAGCAAGAATGCTGAGGGTGCAGGCACTGGAGCCGAGCAATGGAAGAGTTATATCTACCTGTTTACAGGCTAGTTTGGGGATTTGCCAGTAGTCTATTCATTGGGTGAACGTGGTAGCTTTTCTCTAGCACGTGCAATTAAAGTAGCCTGTTTTTCTGATGATGATAAGATAGCACAAGCCTAAATACTGGAATGGTATCACAGCCCAGGATATTCCAAACATCATTTATGTGAAAGATGCTAAATTTACTTGTCATGTCACCTGACTGAGTGTCCATACAAAGGCTGGACAAGCTCAGAGAAAATGTAAGTGGTGGGACTGTTACCATATCTGATTGGCGGTGAAAAGCTTGGTTTCTCAATGGTCCACTCTCTACAGGTTTCCTTAGTTGAACATTGAGGTCCTGTAATTCCTAATGGGATAGGATGGAGTGAATGGATCAGACAGGTGAGGAGATCAGAATATTGGGTAGCGATCCTCAAGCCACCGTGATGCTCGGAGTTGGGCTTACAAAGGTCACGGCATGCTATGAAAGCTCAATTTGGTTTTTTTCTATCAAATTAGCCAAATGTAATGAGGAAGGAGATTTAAAAAAAAGAAAAGACAAAAGTCTAAAAGGTACCAAGCTGAAAGGGATCGATAGGTAAAACTAAATGGCCATGTGGAGGCTTATGAAAAGAAGGGAAATGGCCCATGGATAGTGTGTGAGCTTGGATGGAAGACCAGATTGGAAACAGACAGGAATCAAATGGAGCCAGAGAAGCCCTGTTACCTGGGCAACAAAGTCTCCCTGCTGAGGGGACTGCTCCAGGGCACAGAGTGTAGACAACTCTCCTCAACAAAGCCACCAGGCAGGGCCTGTCTTCACTCGTCTTGATGTCTGCCCACTACTTGGTAACAGGGGACTTTGGAAAATGAGTCTCAAGAGGAGCTTGCTGGACGGCTTCAGTCTGAGTCTGGTCCTTGCATGCTTTTGTGCGAGGACCCCTCGCTTTTCTCAGTAAGCCACAGGTGATATTTACCTGTCTCTAAATGCTGAAATTTTCTCTACAAGGCCAGACATTTACAGCACAACCCTATAATGCCAGCACTTGGGAGGCTGAGGCAGGAGGATCACCACAACTTTGAGTCTGGCTTGATCTACATAGTGAGTTCTAGGACAATTAGGATACACAGTGAGAGCGTGTCTTGAAAGAAAAAATATTTTTGACAAAAACAAGTGAGTTTATATCCACTTCTGCCCACTCAGCTGGAGAAAGTGTTTAAATAGATACAAAAAGTGTAGAGGCCAAGGGGGGATGGGTCTATTTGGTAGCAAAGCGATCAGCACGCTTTCTTCTTTCTTGTTTCACTCCTCTAAAGATGGTGTTTTGTTTTTGTGGAGAACTGTCTGTTGTCACTACTCCATTCTGGAGAGGAAGGCTTGAAAGGAGCTTCAGACAGTATGAAAACAAATACGTGCCTCTGTGTGCCAGTAGCATTTTATTTTAGGTTACTAAAATCGGTAAAACACCCTAGTATGATTAAATATGGCTAATGGAAGGAAGCCACCTTCACTTGTAGCGGAGGCCTACCCTCGGGATAGCTTGCCAGTCTCTTCTAGAGACCCACAGATAAAAAGGGCATATGAAAACTAGAAAGGAACTATTTCGTGAAGGCTAGTATATACTTGCGCTTAATTGTAAACCTCTTAAAGCAGGTTGCCTTTGTAATGCATTTGCGTGTTAATTTTGGATGATTTACCCTTACCAAATAAGGTTTGAGTGGGCCACCTTGGAGTTGGCAGTTGAAGTTTAAAGGCTTGAACCGGCTTTGTGGCATGAAGCATAGTTAGCTACTGAAAATTCGATGTTCATCTTAACTTTCATGATATGAAGGTCTCCAAAGATCATTAGGGAAAAAGAGCCATTACATACAGCTATGTAAAGTAAAGCTTACACGTGTTAGAAGGCCTAGGCTCCCTCGGAAAAATTAAACGAAGACTCGAGTGGACAGGAAGGGAGCAGATGCCTTAGCTGATGAGGATGTCATATGTCTGTCTGACTGTCTGTCCCAATCAGACTCAACATTTCATAGATAGAGCTCTAGAGAGTCGCATTCCAGGGACAAAGCAAGCCCTGGGCATCTTAAATCCAGAACAAGCTGTACAGGGAAATTCAGCCAAACTACAGACATGCATCCCCATCTGTCTAACAGCGGAGTTAGGCTATGCTTTCGCTAAAAACCAGTCTAAGGAACCAAGTCCCATTGCACCGAGGGTTAGCAGGATATTAAAATGGAAGGTTCTAGTTTCTTGCTAAGGTTCAACTCAAATCGTCGAGGCACATAATTGGCAAAATAGGAAAATACACAACATTTCATAAAATATTTTAACAGTGAACAAACTCTCTTCCTATTTTTTGCCCTGTGGACATTTCCAATGGCACCGCGCAGTGCAAGGAGGAGAAAGGTGATACCAGCCCTGTCTCTTCCACGTAGGCATGTTCCAGCAGACCACGAAGCAGGAAGTGATCCCTCTTCTGCAGGCCCGCCAGCTATGGCTTCTCTTTCAGCTTCAGGTCAATACTGGGTTGTAGCCATCGGGGCGGGGCGGGGAGAGAAAACAGCGAATGAGAAGCATGCAATGATAGCTCACCTGTCACTCATTGATATCTTTCTTTCAATAACTTAAACCACCTAAGTTTTTATGCTAGAAAATCGTCTACAGGTTGTTAAGTTTTTCTATAAAGTATTGTCGCTGGGGGCTGAAGCGAAGGTTAAGATGGCTCAGTGGTTAAGATTACTGGCTGCTTGCTCCTTCAGAGGATCTGGGTTTGATTCCCAGAACCCACATGGCCATTCACAACCATTTGTAACTTGTGACTCCAGTCCCAGGGAATTTGGTGCACTCTTCTAGCCTCTCTGGACACCATGCATGCACACAGCGAACAGACATACACACAGGCAAAACACACATGCACATATAAGGAAGTAAATAAACATTTAAAAAAATATTGACTGTTTCTTTTTTAAAATCTGCTTCTGGAAGCATTTTCCGCCTTTCCAAAAGGACCCAGAAAGGTTCATGGTAAGCCTCAAACCCAAAGTCAAATCAGATAAAGACCATCACTATGCCTTCCTATTTTTAGTGGATCCATTTTCTTTCTTGTGATAGTTTTTGCATCCACTTGACTGGAGAGACAGTACAGCACATTTCTCTCTCTGAGAGACAAAGAGAGGAGGGAGGGAGAGGGGGAGAGAGAGACAGAGAGAATATGTCTACAATGGGAGTCTGGACTGGCTGCTGAAAACCCATCTTGAATGAGAGTGTCATTGTCTACCAGAGGGTGCTGGACAGACCGGAAAACAAAAGACATCAAGCAGTGCTTGCCCTCTCCTCACGCTGTCCCTTCCTTTCTGGGAAGCTTTTCTCCTGCCGTTGCTTGTGGACCTCAGACTCTGCAATCTTTGACCTTTGAACATAGGCTCACACCACCAACGCTCTAGAGAGCCTTCATCCTTGAACTGTGGCTAAATACTGGTCTCTGGGGTGTCCAAGGGGCAACTTGCTTTCCTGGCTCTCCTAGCTCCTCTCCAAAATGGAATAAACATTCTGGGAGCTGCATGGGTCTCTCCTCTGCCTTTTAACGAACATCACCCAAATGTCTCGTACATACACCGCACAGGAAGAGAACGAGGGCCAGCGAACAGCCAGAGATACTTTTATTCAGTCATGATAAAAAGAGGAAGGAATCATTTGAAAGCAGCATGTTAGGAAGTCTGGATTTCTCTCTGCACCTCTGAGTCATCAGTCTGCCTGGGGTGGACTTTCCTGTGGCCCATGTGGCAAACACGTCCTTCCTAGCAGCTTTGCAGATAAAGCCACTTTAGCCTAGACCACTTGTCTGTCCAGGGTGCACAGTGTGGTGTTCTGACTTTGAAGTTCCTTCAGTGACTTCAGCGCTTGGTGGCTGTGCACACTGGACCACTTCGCCTACACCCTCCCCCATTCCCATTTCTGCATTGTATTCCACGGAGACAGATTGGCACAGTCTATCTCACGACTAGGAAAGGAGTAGGTCTAACTTGGCAATAATCTTCTCTGCTTAGGGAGTTTGAAGAGATCGCTGTGACAAAAGTGATGAGGGACCAGCTCAGAGGGGACCAGACACTGGAAACTTATTTGTTTCTAGTGCCTTCCAGGATCTGACTTGTTATCTGCAGGACTTTGCTTGGGCGGTGTCTTTGTTCATCTGCTGGACCCCCGTATCTGTTCCTAACAAACTTGTACAAAGCAGGTCATTTGTCTTTTTTAATTGTGTTTGCTTCTAAGATGTAAAATGTACTCAGAAGTCAGTGCTAGGTCTGAGTCGGTAATTGGAGTTCTATTCTTTCTCTCAGGGAACTGGCTCAGTTTCCCCATGAAAACACAAAGACATTCACTAATCTCAAACTCCATAGAGTTTAAAGTGGGCAGTCACTGCACTTTGCTTTTGACAAATGCCTGATCCAACACCCTAGAATAAACATCTCCAAGTCTCTCTCTTTCTTGTTCTGAGTCCTTTGTCAAACTTTCTGGGGTTTAAGACATTGCTTTGGTTTGTTGGTAACAGAATAGCTGAAAGACCTAAAGCCTGTTTACCCAGTCCACACAAAGAGCAACTGACAAGTCTGCACAGGAAACCGTTTTACAGATTGCTTTGAGACAAGCGCTAGCTTATGGGGTCAACAAAGCCACTGGTAATGCTTCTAATTTATCCTCACCAAATAGAACCATTGATTATATCATTTTTAAAAAATGCATTACAAATATAAACAGTCCTGCTAAAACTTTGTGACAGGAATGAATAAAACCCAAACCTAAAGTAAGGGAGAAAAGCACTGAAAATAGTTTCCTAAGAAAGTGTCCGTTTCGAGAACGACATTGATGGCAACTTGGACACGAATTTAATATAGATGGGCGATTTGTCCTGTCTGCGGAGATGAGCTTAGTTGCCCATAACCAACTGGCCCTGCATGAGAATGACGTATCTCAGTGGCAGGCTGCTCACTTCTTGCATGCATTAAATGAGATTCCTCACAAGGTATGTGACAATCCTATTTAATGGTACTTAAAAATACTTGCGTTTAATGGAGAAGTGGCAAGGAAGGTATAATGTTCCTTTTCTCTGTGCAGAATGGGAGGCCACTCTAGTACCCTTGCATATCTCTTCATTCTTAGCCCGATGGAGCCCCTTGAAAGAGCTTGTGCCTAATTTGCACTTCATCCATTCCGTACTAGCTACAGGTGTAAAATGCTTCCATGTAGTCCCCTCCAGAAGCAGGAGAAGCTGAGCAAAGCACATTTGTTCTAACATTCATTAATATCAAAGCAGGCAGGCAAACACATGCAGGTCTGGAGGCCAGGGGGAAAATTCTTGCCCATTCTTGTTCCCCATCTTGGACCTCATCCTGCTGTCTGGGGCGATGGTATGCTTGGTGGAAGCTCAGAAAAGACGGAGATGAAGAAAAGGAAAACTTCTAGAACATATGTTCTTCTAAGAATGGGAAATAACACCAACCGTTGGCAGCCCCGCCCTCCCCACAGCCAGCCCCGGAAAGAGCGCAAACAGGAATCCGTGTGCCACCTTTTCCACCAACCCTATAGCCCTCCCACCAATGAGGAGCAGACAAACAAGGCAGGCAGAGGAGTGGGTAAACCCCAAGATGTAGCAGCAGTAGGCCAATGAGGGGCAGGCTGAACTATGGGTGTTGGTAAGTGTTTAAGGAGCATTGCTTTACAACAGGAGTTTGAAAACTCCTGTGTTTGAAAAAAATGAATTACGATGGACTTAGAGACTGAGATAGGTTTGCTTTGCAAAAGCAATTTGCTTGAAGTAATTGGTGCTGTCCTCTCAAAAATTAGGACAAGAGTGACTTTTAGGAAATAGCTTTATGATTTGTAAGGTCCCCTTTCAACAGCTATCCTGCTGTTTGTTCCTTTTTTGAGGAGGGAAGCAGGGTTTTGTCCCCAAACTTCCTGTAAGCTGTAGAGTCAACAAGGCAGCTTGCAGACACTGCACTGGGCCTTTCCAACTTCCCGTTGGCCCTGGAGGAGACAAACACTGATGTGGCAGATATGCTGAAGCTGATCTTTGCTTCGCCTTTCTTGGTCCCTGGGAACAAAGCCAACCCTAAATTCTCCACTACTTAAGCCAGATTAGGAGATTCTTGGTGGATGTTAAATTTTCTGAGATTATCTTGCTGATCACAGTTACATGAATCTGACACAGCCGCTCCTACGTGAGCAGTTCCTGTCCTTTGTTAAATGAGCCGCAGCAGCATTCAGCACCTCTGATTGGAAAACCACAGGCTCTGATCTGCAAGCTCAAGGTTCAAATCCCACCTTGGGCCCTTTTTCCCCCTTTGTAATGGCTGCAAAACATTGGCTAGTCACAAGCTTTATCCGTAGTTCCCTTTCTATTAAAATGCACTTCGTATTACTCTAGAATGAATCCCAGGTGCTGTGTGTGAGCTTCTTACAGAATCTGGGCTAAGGACTCTACGCATGCCGATTTCTATTTCTTACAGGACAGCAATATCCAACTATAAAATTCCAGACGTCCCAGACAGGCTCAACTGCCTCTTGGACTTTGCAAAGCAAGGATATTTCTTCCCTATCCTCCAAAATATTAAATCCACATGGAAGACTGGGTTTTTCCTAAACACAATGGATGATGTAATTCTGAAAGCAGAGTTGCGTTCCTCTTGCCCCAGCGTTCCTACAACTGGCCCCCAAATACATGTGCTCATTTTTGGAGCAGAAAGGTGAACGTCAGGCAAAGCATCCGGTTGTCCTTTGTGGCAATCACTAAACCCACAGTAGCCGGCCATTGCCTCTGTAATTAGCTGTTTCTGAAACAGAGCCCACAAAAGCTGAACATCTCAAGGGGTTTACCCAATCCCGGACACATTAGTTTCACTTTGAGTGCAGCCATGCAACACCACCTGTAACCACACAGCTGTTACTGATGGTGGGTTCTTACTCCTTGTCCGTCGAAGCCATTTCCGGGTCATTGTAAAGGCAGCTAGTTCTGGGTGCAAGGAAAACAAACAAACAGGAAGCAGTCAACATTTTCTTGCTCTTATTGCCGTGTCCGCATCGCTTGCTGGGGCATTTGAAACTGTTTAATGTGGTACCACTTACTACTCCTGCGCCCCCAAACCTATACCAGAACAAGCGATGCTACTAACTTTTAGCATCAGGACTGACATATAGTCACTAATCAAGGTATAGAAATACAAAATGATAATAATAGTAACAAAACGTCAAACACCTGCAGAGGTTACCTGTCCTAGCCATTTTTCTTACTTTTCAAATTTGTTTCTTATGCAATGAACATAAATATGGAAAAAGAATTTATGTGCCTCAAATAATAAAAAAATATTTTATACACAAAGGCAAACCTTTTAAACAGCTGAATTTTGCTTTGACAGAACACAGCCAGCCTTCAGGCTTCCCAAGAGCGAGGAATTTCCAAGGCCTGGAAAGAAAAGACTGCCCGGGCCAGCTCTGCTTGGTGTTACAGGAGAGGGGCAAGATACTCCCCACTCCCCAGGGCTGAGCAGTGCTCAGATGTTACAGGAGAGGGGCAAGATGCTCCCCACTCCCCAGGGCTGAGCAGTGCTCAGATGGCTCTCATGGATTCTAACACCCCCGAAGAGGGACAGGTCCAGGAAGAACAGCGTAGCCATAGAAGAGAATAAAATCAAAGTTTTCAATGCTGTATGTGTCTTTGTGTAACTTAGCAGTTCATGATGTCCATATCAGGGTGATAACTATGCTAACGGATTTCAGCTTCCTCTTATATCAGTTCCTAATGCTTGTACACTGCAGCTTTTACTTTTCCCCTTCCTCTGGTAAATGATTTAAAAGATCCTATGATCCTTTTTAGCTTACTTTTGAAAAGGATTTTTAAAAATGTGTACAAATGTCTTGCTTGCATGTATGTATGAGCACTGCATGTGTGCCTGGTGCCTGCAGAGGTCAGAAGACGTTGGATGCTTTAGAATTGGCTCTACAGTGAGCTGCCATATAGGTTTTGGGCACATAAGCCAGGTCCACGTGAAGAGCAGCAAATGCTCTTAACTGCTGAGCCACCACTCCAGTCCAATGGACCCTTTTTAAACACACGGGTTCCTTTTCCATTGAGAGTAATTGGACAAGCTAATTTATCCATTTGATGAGGATCTGTGGCTAGTTCAGTATTTTCCTGAAAATCTCAGGAGGCTGTTTCCCTCTCTAGGCATGGCCTCGTTCCCTCCCTTTTTTCAGCCTGCGGTGGTCCGGTAATTTTATGGAGAAAGTTTGGTGATTCTAGGAGCAAGGACAGTGAAGTAAGCACCGACAGTGAGCTAGCAAAAGCCAGCGAAGCTGGAACCAAATCAAGAAAGGGCGAGCTTCTGGGCCCAGTCTCTCCGCTTTTCAACTGGGTGATCTCTCCAAAGGAAACAACCGTCTGCAGACATTTCCATGCTAACACAGGGAAGGCAGCGGATGGATTCGTCCTCATTTGTGAACAAAGAATGGGTCTGTGTGGTTTGGGTACAGTAACAGACCTTTCCACAGTGTTTTCCACCCTTGTGTGGGTCTAAGGCTCAAAAGAAAGCTGGCAAGCTGAGCCATCTCAGGGCACTCAGGGGTTGGACCATGTGTGGTTTCAGTATCCAGGTGGCACCTGGAAGAAGGGGAGCAGTGGCTACCCCAGGTGTGCCACTTATACCCTCTTCAAGAGCGTGGGAACTCTACGGGTTCCCTCACGTTTGTCCTTCATCAAACGACATCATCTGACATGTGTTCACTTTATATCTCCCTGACAGGATGCCTTTTGCCTTTTTCAGTATCATGCCTCACAAGATGGAGCCATGACCACCCCCAATCAAAACAGCTTGAAAACTATGGGTTAAGTGCTAATTCTTAGAAACTAAACCAAGCGTCTGTTTATTTTTACTATTATTTTAGGCGCATGGATGTTTTGTCTGCATGTATGTCTGTGCACTGTGTGTACGACGTGTCTTCGGAGACCAGAAGTGAGTTTGGGATCCCTTAGACCTGGAGTTACAGATGGTTGGGAGCCATTCTGTGGGGGATAGAACCCTGGTCCTCTAGAAAAACAGCCAGTGCTCATAATGGCTGAACCATCTCTCTAGCCCCAGAGTGTTAATTAAATCTTGAGTGGCCACGAAACTAATCCTACAAAAATCTTTCCAATTTTTATTTGCTACTGTTTCGTGTAATGCAGACTAATGTGGTTCTGCTGCTTCAGTACGTATCTAAGGCTCATTCGGATGTAACACTCCATGCGGCAATGTCTGTGATGTGTTTTCTGGTGATATCTAGAACTTCAGATACATTTAAAAGATAAATTAAACAGTGACAAATGCTTTCCTTAAGATAACCGAGATTGTGGGGGGGAAACAGGTTATAATAAAAACATCAATGATTATATTGGCCATAGGAGGAATGGAGCGTTCAGAGTGCAGCGTTATTATCAGGGGACTGGAAGAAAACAGCAGCCATGCCCATCTCCCCAATCATTCCCAAACTGCAAGCCAACATCACACCAGCCGCAAAACCCAAACCAAGTCTTACTTAGCTGCTTCTGATGCTTCCCTCAATTCTTCATCCAGTCTGCACGAGCAAAAATTACCGTTGGAGAAAACAAACAAACAAACAAACAAACAAACAAAAAGAGCAAGCAGAGCATGAGCATCTCTCGCAAAGCAGAGGCAAATGTAAGTGGTGTGTATTTGCTTTATCCCCCCAAAGCTGTCTCCAGGCACACCGAGACACGCTCAGCTAAACACGGTGCCCTTCCTTCCTGTTGGGCAGTCCTGTTTCTTCACTCCACAAATCCCTTCCTAAAGGTGATGGAAATGTTGCAAGGGAATGAGAAACATGCTGGCTGAATGAAGCTCAGAACGTCCATATCATGTTGGGGACGGTTAAAGTTAGCTCACAGGCTGGGCCAAGTCAGGGGTGGATCTGGTTTAGTAGGTTTCAGAAGCAGATCTGGGTGACCTCAACAGCTTTACACACAGGACAAAGACTTGGACAAGAATTCAAAGACTTCCTCAGGAAGCAATGTTGAGGTCACCCACACATACAGCCCTGGAGCGCACACACAGGGAGTCCAGAGTGAATACTGATCTCGAGACTTTTACCTCACGTTTCTCTTAAAAGACTTTTCTTCATCGTACCTTACAAGATAAGAAATGGATGCCGTGAGGACAGTGAGGAACAGGAGGAAAATGAGAGGCGGATGCTTTAAACCAGTGGTTCTCACCTCTCCTAATGCCGCCACCCCTTAATACAGCTCCTCATGGTGTGGTGACCCCAACCACAAAATTATCATGTCGCTATGTCATAGCTGCAATTTTGCTACTGTTATGAATTGTAATGTAAACATCTGATACACAGGATATCTGATATGCCATCCCCAGTGGCGTTGCGACCCACAGGTTGAGAACCACTGCTTCAAACAGTAAGCACACGAGAGAAAAACGCTTACCCAGACAACACGACTGGCTTTGGAGAGAAAATTTACTTGTAACAGGCACAATTAACCGTTTACAATTCATAAATATGTAGTCAACCCTCATTGTCTGTAGATTCCCTATCTGCAAATCTGCCTGCTCACGAAGACATCTGAAATCTCTGCAGTCAATGTGCAATGTTTTTGTTGTTGTTTTTCACTTGTGGACACAACAAGGTGACAAAATTTGAAGTTGCCCCTTGTGCACACAATCAGCAGAAGTCGAGCAGGATGAGGCTGTGCCTTCCCGTCTCACAGTTTCTCTGGTAAATGTTTTCCTCATTTTTGTTCTTTTGGCTGGTGACTGTGCTATTTAAAATAGCAGTCAAGCGTGTTACCAAACATTACCTACTGTTGGAAGGAACGAGACAGTCATTGTACCTCACAGAGAATGTGTGTGTCCCAGAACATGGTTTTAGGTACACGCTGTCGTGCTGGGGCCTTGCGTGCATTATTTGGTTTTGTTTTGCTCGTCTGTTTGTGAGAGGGTCTTGCTGTGTAGCCCAGGCTGCCCTCAGTCTTTGAGTGTTGTGATCACACACAGCTGCTGCCATATGTAGTGGAGCACAATGATAGTGTACACTAAGAAGCTTGCTCACACACAGACAGACACGAGCCAAGGCTATACTGATGGCTACGAAAACCAAACCAAGGTTATATACTGATGGGTGATGAAAAACCAAGGCTACGTACTGGTGGGTGATGAAAACATTGCAACCAGAAGCAGACAGGATCCCAGCCCTGTATTTCCCCCAGGAATAACAGCTCAGAGTTCACCAAGTGTCTACCATGCCTTTATTGAACACAACGGTTCCAAGCTAATGAGAACCAACTGTAATTAATAATAACTACATTTCAGCCTGTGGATGCCAGGCTCCACCCAGCTGAATTCTGTTCTTGGGATTGTTTGGGATAGAATGCTTTGAACGTTATTCAGTGAAAGGAAATAGCAATGGCCACGTCAATTTGAAAATTATAGAATGTGGAAACGAAGCAATGAGGGCTAGCAAAAGAAATAGCAGAAAAGATGCCCTGAGCTGTATCATGACAGGCGGACACACAGATGGGGTGGGGTGGGGGTGTCCCACAGTGCTAGTTCTTCCTCCAGAAAATGAATTTTCTACAGGAAACTTTTCCTCTTGAAGCATTTTTTCCAAAATGTGGCCCTTGAGAATAGATGGAAAGTGCCTGGCCATGCCTGGCTTCTCAATTGACACCCCACCCTCAAGTACAGTAATTTTCCAAAGCAATGCAGTCATAATCACTAGTACTCTAGACCTCAAGCTCTGCCTTCCTGCTCACCGCTTTCATTCAGTCCTCAGGCCCATCCATGCTCTGAAAACTACTTCCCCATCTTACGATTGTGAGAACCAAACCTCTGAGGATTTTCATAGGCTGTCTGAAGGCTCAGAGGCATTGAAAGGAGGAGGGGAGGGAAGGTTCGCATCCAATTGCCTCCACGGCCCCTTTTCCTTCCACTGTCTCTGCCAGGTCATGGGAGGCCTTGCTTCTTTCTGGGAAATGGCCAGTGCTCACTCCCTTGAGAAGAGAGAATGTCTTTGTCATCTTTTGCAAAGGTATACCAGTACAAGAGGTGACTGACGGGCAATGAGAAGGGGAGCTAGAAGCTCGTTAGGATGTTTTGGGGGCAGGCTCCTCAAAAAAAGGAGCAGTTCTGATTTTTGTCCTTGGCCAGAAGCCAGAATGGTCAGTAGTTCTATCCTGGCTGGAGGCTAGAAATGCAAGTGTGTTTGGGGCCTATTGTCTTGGTCTGCTATCCTACCATCTTTCTTCTTTTATACAGCAGGGAATACTGTTGTCTGGAAGCCATGTGTGAGGCTGTGACAAACCTGGAGCACACGAATACCTGGTGGGCAGGATAACTGGGCTGACCAGATCTCCCCTGTGCCCCATCCCATGCCTCAGTCTAGAAAAGCCTTTTTAAACGCTAGATAGGAACATCTGATGGTGATCTTTCTTTGGGACCTACTCTTAACACATAAGTACTTTGCTGGTGTCTCATCCAAAAACTCTTACATGAACTTATAATAAACTCCTTCCCAAAACTCATCCTCCCCAATGTCTGAAATTCATTCTTTGAGTCTGTGAGACAATGAACCCAGAAGCCACTGGCCCGGGATGACTTTTGGTGCCTGTTAATATTCCAGGACCCTAGACACTGTCCCACCTACTACAGCTCCCTGAGACTTCTATTGCTCCCCAGAACCCCTGCTTATTCTATATCACTATTATTTTTATAAGGAGAATGGGCTTGGGAGGCAGGGTGCAGCTTGTAGCATGCAAGTCAAAGCTGGAGGTGGCATTGGTCCTGGGAAATCTGCGGCTCTCCCGAGGACTGAAGCCCTGGTTAAGATCTTATAAATACTGCTTGGTTCAGCTGAGCCATCCAACTCCAGTAAGTCTATCAGTATACTGTGTTCAGGCCTGAGTTGGCTGATGGAGGGGAATCAAATGCTACTTATGAGCTACTGGATAAAGAATCTACTAGAAAAGCATGTAGGCATTTGGTGACAGGCTAACCTGCATTTGAACTCCAGTCCCCTCCCTGCTTGGTTCCTGCTCCTATTTCCCTAAGTAACTTCTTACTAACTGATCTCCCTGGCATCTGTTAAAATGGGGGTTAAGATGAGAGTTGAGTGTGCTATACAAACACAGCTCTACAGTAAGAGGTTCCACAGTAAACAAGAAGACCCCAACTTCTATGTGTGTGCTACTGAGACGCTTTGGATGTCCTCATTGGAGGACTATTTTGCTATCTATTTTCTGGAGGGAGATATACAACACTTGTCTTTTTCCTTAGAGTTCATGATCAAGTCCCTTTCAAGTCTAATGAAACAAACAAACAAACAGTTAATCAACTGTACCAAGAGTCAAAAACCAGGATGCACAGAGGACTAATAATTCTTTGCAGTGATTGACCAGATAGGAATATCCATTCTCTAACATCTGTCTTCAAATCCCAGTTCCAAATGCTGTGAGTTAACTTTTGTTTTTTTTTTTGTTTTTCGAGACAGGGTTTCTCTGTGTAGCTTTGGAGCCTGACCTGGCACTAGCTCAGTAGACCAGACTGGCCTTGAACTCACAGGGAGATCCACCTGCATCTGCCTCTCTTCAGACGTAATCTTGACACCCACACAGTACCTGTGCTTTTCACCCACAGGGTGGTCCTAGGCAAGATTATTCCTCGCCACCCACCCACTCGTCAAAAGAGGCTCTCTATCTAATCTTCCGTCCAAAGGCAATCATGAGGACTAGGGGAGGGATCTTTGGAGAGCATCGTTGTTTCTTTTTATCTATTTTCTGGAATCATATAGACAAATTACTTATGAAGAAAGAAATCCAAATTATGGGAAGACGTTAATGTAAAGCAGAGGATCACAGGTGTAAATTGTCCAGTTAACATTACATACAGGCTGTCTCCAGAGTGGAAATATATTTCAAGGTAAAAATGTCAATCAATAGCTAATATCAGTTCAGAAAATATGATCAAAATATATTACATGAAATAAAATTTCCTAAAGTCAGAAACTAATCATTAAAAGTTGTGTGAAACTAAACATTACACTGCCTGATTTAAAGAGGATCTGAGAGAATAGGCGATAGCAAAAGCTTTATTTATTAGACAATATTTCCTTTAAAAATAAGATGCCATTTCTCATTATTCTAGATGTGACTGTCTTCCCAGCACCACCCCCCCCCCCGACAACTTACTTGATGATGCTCTCTGGGATATGGATGCAGTCCATGGGGATCAGCCCACTGAGCTCAGATAAACTACTAACGTATTTAATTTTACTGCTGAATTTTGAGCTGAAAGAGAAAAAGGAGAAGAGCCTTTACATGGTTTGTTATGTTTCCATCACAAAGCCTTGGTCTCGTCCTGGAAACCTTCCTGGGATTCTTTTCTACATTATTGGCAACAGGGCTCTCACACATGCTAAGCATCCGCTCTGCCGCTGACCTGTACTACACCCACATCCTGAAATCTTGAGATGCTCAAGCTGGACTCGTCAAGCTTGCTGAGCAGAAAGGATAACATTGTCTCAGCCGTGATGATGGACCAGAAACTGCTTTAGTACCATTTTTTAATAGGTTTTATTTTTTTTTTTTGAGAAGTTCGTGCATGAGCCCTGCATCTCTATCATGCCTGTCTCTCCTTCTCCACTATTAACTCTTCCCTCCCTACCCCAAAGTCAAGGTTTCTTCTTTATTATTGTTATACAAATACATGTATATATACACACATCTGTATGTATATATATGTCAATTAGAAATAGTAGAAACAGCAGGAACCACCATAACTATTTTTTAATTGACGAAGGATAATATATATTTCTTTTATAAAAGCAGTTGCTTGAAGTGCCAAATGCTTTGTGGAGTAGCTAATCTGTGCCAGGTAAAACATACCACTTTATATACTCACTTGGTTTTGTTTTGTAGTGGAATCATTTAGAAGCACTCTTCTTAGAAATTTGAAAATGTAAGGCGGTTGTTATCAATGGTAGCCTTCACGTATAAGAGCTTTCTGGAACTTTCTTATTTTCTGTCTGTATTGTGTGCTCTTGGAGCATCTTACGAAACTGGCCCCTTGAAGTTACCAGTCTCCTCTCTACTTCTGTAAATTCCATGCTCTCAGGTTCTACGGACAGCTCTCCCTCACCATCCATGGGGGATTGGTTCCGGGAACCACCGCCGACCCCCAGATGCCTCAGATCCTATATGCAATGTCATGACCATGCAGACAGTGGTTTGCTTGTTCGGGGGGGGGGGGAGTAGTAAAAAACAAAAGAAAAAGTGTGTGCATTTTCAGAGATTTTCACCTGTTTAATGTTTTCTATCAGTGGTTGGCTGAATCTGCACCTGCGGGCCCCATAGATGCAGAGGGCAAAATGAGAAACGCAGAGGATCTGAAACATCTGAATAGCATACAGATCCTTAGTTCAAACAGAGAATCGGTGACAGGGCAGGAGCCTGGCTGTATTATGCAGTCGTGTTTACCTTTCTGAAAGAATCACCCCCTTTCCCACAAACACAGAACTATCACTAGCCGATGTCCAGATTTCTCGGGGTTTCCCTGCCAGGATTTAAGACACAGAGAGCTGAGCTTGGACAAAGTACCTCCCGGGAAAACAGAAGCACCTTTTTCCAGATGGCTCTTCCCCACCCTGACACACTTGGGTCACACTGGATGTGAGTTTTGAATAATCTTAGTAACTTTTTGTTCATTTTTTGTTTATATTTATTAAATTTTTTTCCATACACTGTATTTTCATCATGCTTGCTCCTCCTTCAACTCCTCACATATCCTCCCCTTCCACCTGCCCATCTAATATCATGCCTTCCCCCTGCTCCTTTTCAAAACAAAACAAAACAAACCATCAGCTTTGGTTTTGGTTGTGTTTTCATTGCCTCTTGTTTACTCTGAGAATCAAACCCCTGCTGCTGCTTTTGTGTTTCTCACATGGTCCCTCAAATGAGTAACCCAGCCCAAGTTGTGTAATTTGTCTGTGTCTGGTTTGTCCTGGGGACTGGGGCATAACTATGAGATTCAGCAAGCATCCATCGTTCCTGGCTTGGCTCCAGCCAGTGGCTGGTAGCGGCTCCTTCTGAGATGGACTGAGGGAGGAATCCCCAGGACCCTTGGACCCTGGTCACAGCTCATCATTTAGAGAATTCCTGTGTGCATCTGTGCCTGCACTCATGTCGCTCTGATTTTCCTCCATTACTCTTAACTCCTTCCTCACCTTCATCCTGACTGGTCACCAGTGCCAAAATGCCAACTGTACGAAGAAGATTGAATAAGAAGCATTTTTTTTTCCTATTTAAAGAGCTGCTTGGAACACACTGATATCTAATTCCAGGAATTTCTTTCCTTAACAGGAATGTCTGGTGGAAACGGCTCACACATGTTTGCACAATGAGATGGTCAACAAGGGAACCACATTCTCAATGCAGAGTTGTACTCTGCCCACTAGAGATGGGATAGGCTGAGGTCACTCTTGTGGAACAGTGACCTTTCTACTTGTTCCTACGTCCTGTCCATCTCTCTCCAGGTTTTATCCTTTATATAGAGTTGTGGTTTGAATGAGAAATGTCCCCTATAGTTTTGGGCATTTGACCACTTGGTCCCCAGCTGGTAGCATTTTGGGGGCAGGGGAGATTTAGGATGGTGGAGACTTGCAGGAAGAGGCATGGTACTGCGGACAGGTTTTGAGACTCAAAGCCTCTAGTTCCTTCTAGTTAGCCCTTTCTGTTTCCCGTTTGTGGTTCAAGATGTGCACTCTCAGCATTCCGTTCCTGTCGCTGTGTCTGCCGCTTACTGCCGTGACTCTGTGCTGGACTCTCATCATGGACTCTCATCCCTCCAGAAATGACAGCCAAATTAAATTCTCTTTTCCCTAACTTGTCTTTGGTCATGGTGTTTTCTCATAGCAACAGAAAAATAATAAAACACGGAGTTACAGTTAAAAATCTTTTGAGCATTTAGTGTGTGTATATGTGTGTGTGTGTGTGTGTGTGTGTGGTGGGGGGCTGGCTCACTGGCTCTCTGTCTGTGTCTGAGTGTGTATAGTGTATGTGCCGTGTGTGCATTTGTGGAGGGGTGAAGCTGACACCAGTGTCTTCCTCCACCTGAACCTGGAGCTCACTGATTAGCTGGACCGCCTGGTCAGAGTGCGCCTTCCCTTCCCCTGGGATCCTCTCTCTCCTAGCACTGGAGTTACACGCATGTGCTGCCATACCCTGCTTTTACTTGGATGCTGGGGTTCGAAACTCAACTCCTTCAAGATTCTCCCCATAGAGATGGCCTCTGCAGCTGTGTTCAGAGCCTGGGACACCTGAAATCAAGTCACGGCAAGAGAAGGGCTTTCCTCTCTCCTCCTGCACATGGTATGATGTGAATGCTCATGCTGCCTCTGTTCTCTCATAGAAATAATGAGAGCTCTCCCTCGGGGCTCTGCTCCTTCTCCTCAGCTACAGTGAAAGGGCTGGGCTACAAAGAAATTCATGTGTTTTATGAGGCTCTCTCGTGCCCCGTGGTCTAAAGATCTAAGGACTGGATACTCTTGGAGCTGCCTTGGCAGGTTACAGACAGTCTCTTTGGGAATGTAGGCAGCACCAAGAAATGGGTGTAAGGTGGAGGTAACGATAAGACCTGACCACTAGTTTGAGTACAGGTCCTTCAGAAACTTGATATATTTTGATTTGCTGTTTCCTGGATGCAACTAGAGTTGAATTTCTGTCACTTAAAACCAAAGAACAGGGCCCTGTTTATTCAGGTGCCCTACTCCAGGCCACTAAATCATAGTTAATAACACTCAAAAAAAAAGGCAGCTCATTAAATTCCTCATGTTTCAGTCAATAGTTAATTTTTGCCAGCAGAAACTTGTTGCTCAACTATTTGAAGTCAGGAATGAGAATATCATAAATATCATAATATTTAATATTCTAATCATTGTTATACACACCACTCCCTCTAAAAAATCTGGAAGGTACAGGAAAAAAATCTGTTACATGTGTGTGTGTGTGTGTGTGTATATATATATATATATATATATGCACTATATATAGTATTCATCTCTCTCCCTATATATAGACACACACATATCTTATATTTATTTTCTCCAGAATATTGTACTTTAATGAGAAATTTATTAATAACTTTTTGTTTGTTTGTTTTGTTTTTCGAGACAGGGTTTCTCTGTAGCTTTGGAACCTGTCTTGGAACGAGCTCTTGTAGACTTTTACATGGACTCTGGGTGCACAGTCCAAAGTATTTTTCCAGGAAGGTAGAAGTCTCTTAAGTTTCCCTGGATTCTCCTAGCTTACAAATCCTCATCACAGGAAAGTTCACAAACTCTGAAAAGACGTCATCATACAGGCATCTTGTGACCGTCACAGTTATACCTTATGAAAGGTCGCGTCACCGCAAGGATCGTTCTGATGAACCAAGACGGGTGGACAATGATGAATGACTTCAGATTCTTGCGCAACCTGTCTTGACGAAAGAAACAGTTCTATTGGAATTGTTAGAAACAGAAAATAGATCCCAAATGAGACTCCATGAAGTTCCCGGAAGGAGATCCAGGAAAGTTACAATTTCTCGTAGATGTAGAGAATGTCCAGGGTTAATTTTTAAAATGCCTTCTATTTTACCCCTCCCATTCTCCCCCACTGTGTGTGTGTGTGTGTGTGTGTGTGTGTGTGTGTGCGCGCGCGCGCACGCGTGCACATGTGTTTATTCACGCGGGTATATGTGTAAGTGTGTATGGACTCCTATAGAGAACACGGGTCTCCAGTGTCATTCTCCAGGGGCCATCCACTGAGACCGAGCCTCTCATTGAGACCCCAGGCTTGCTGATCAGACTCTGCTGGCTGGCCACTGAGCTCCAGGAGGCTGCTTGTTCCGGCCTCCCCAGAACTAGGCTTACAAGCAGGCACCACCACACCTATGGGACTTGAACTCAGGTCCTTGTGCTTGCCTGGCAAGCATTTCATACACTAAACTATGTCCTTAGCTTCCTGAAATAATTTTTGAGACATAACCTGACACTTAGCTCTCCTTTCCCCACAGGCACCAAAGCAAATGTAAAGGCTCATACTTCTACGGTACACAAACTTACAATAACTGAATATTTTCACCTAATGATGTTTTTCAGTTTTGTTAGCTCTGTCTTTGTTAACTTGAAAAGAATATGCCTTCAATAACAACTTAGACTATTCATTGTTTGTTTATCGTCTTTTGTTTTTGAGATCGGGCCTTGTGTAGCTCAGGCTGGCATCAAACTCACTATGCAGCTAAGGATTACTTCTAACTTGATCCTCTTGCCTTTACCCCTGGAAACGGGGATTATAGGTATGTATGCAGGTAATGAAAACAGAGCCTCATGCACCTTGGTGAGCAAGCTATATCCTCTAGCCCTTCACAGTTTATTTGGTCTGACAAAGCCTTAATTTGTTCTTATATATTTACCATTTTAATAATTCTTGTTTTCAGGCACATTTTTTCAGTATTAACAATGCTACTTGGGGCTGGAAAGATGGCTCTGTGGTTAAGAGCACTGACTGCTCTTCCAGCGGACCTGGGTTCAATTCCCAGCACCCACATGGCAGCTCACAACTGTCTGAAATCCAGTTGCAGGGGATCTGACACCTTCACACCAATGCATATGAAATAAAAGTTAAATAAATCATAAAAATATTTTTAAAAAGCGATGCTACTTTATTATGTTGGATCATAAAACAAATTTTAATTAAATGTAATAATCATTCTCATGGCATTATGAAAGAAGCCTCGTCTAAGGGGGTATAATATATGCCATAAATTATTAGTTTTACTATTTTAATTTTCATATATATGACAATAAAGTTTGTCTGAGCAGAGAGATAAGGATTTGAGGAACGGGCACACAAAGGCAGTGCTGGCTTAGCAGACACCTTGAACGGACACAAATACTGAAATAGGAATACAACGGTTTGTAAACCGTCAAAACCCTAGTGCAGTGGTTCAACCTTCCTAGTGCTGTGACTCCCAATAATACAGTTCCTCATATTGTGGTGACCCCCGACCACAGTTATTTTTGTTGCTACTTCATAACACTAATTTTAGAGAGGAGCAGCATCTCAGTTCCTAAGATCGTCAGAAAGATGTGTCTTCTGATGGTTGCAACCCACAGGATGAAAACGGCTGCCCTAACACATAAAACAGTAGCTAGGTCACATGACACCACTGAAGGCTCATAGGAACCTAGGTTTGTCCACTCAAGTTGCACGCATACAGTCTAAAGTGGACTAGACCTGCCAGATTCAGGGTTAACAGTTTGTAAAATCTAGGGAGGGTTTGCTTTGCTTAGCCTTAGACATCACGCGATACTTTCCGCAATATTTTTACAACTTACCACCTCATGTGTGGGTAACCTGCTCTCTCTAAGACACGACTGTATTATATAGAGTAGAAGAATATTAGATGTGAGAGCCAGTGAGGAGTCAAAACAGTGACTAAACAGTGGTGCCCACATACCGTCTGTCAATCATCTAAACAGTGGTACCCACGTACCGTCTGTCAATCATCTGGTAACATTTCTTCATCCAGCCTAGCCCTGGCATCTTCCGCCTGGGAGTCGCACCATTCAAGTACACAATCATGTAGTCTTCAGCCACCATCAGCTCTAAGGTACTTATTACATATCTGATCAGAGGAAGGAAGAGAAACATTTTCAATTCCCACATGAAAGATTTCATTCTAATGACACCATAATTAAGTGACATTCAAATTATAGGGTGAATGACATCGAAGGGTAGGGGTGCGCGTTATCTCTTTCTCTTGAGAACAATGCGTTAGCATTGCCCTTTTGTGTGTATGCGTGCGGCCACCCTAGAGAAATATGTGGCTTTGAAAGGTGACATAAAAAATGTCAGCAATGTTATCAAACTTTAAGGGCAACTCAGATTAAAGGAGGGCAAAGGTCAGTGAGGGCAGTTTCCCGTCACTGAGAACATGCTATCAGAAATAAAACAATCCTTTGCCCAAATGAAACATTAGAAAAGTATTAACCATAGTTGAGACTCCACTCATTTTCTTCTCCCACTATTCTACAGACAAGTCCCCTAGAGCAAGGCTCCTTGACGGAAATACTACCGGCTTCTTATGGAAGGCTTCGGATGGGCTATGCCATGTACTCGTGCAATTAAAGACCCTTTATCAGCCATCACATGCCCACGGATGCCAACCCAATCACCACTCACAGGAAAAGGTTTTCCATGACATAGTGGTAATCCGCCCGGCTGCTGTCTGGCAGAAAACAGGCAGCAAACACAATGATGGCATTCAGGCCGTCCCCATAGTATCCTGGGAACAAATAAAAAGATACGTGTAACTGAATGAAATCCCAAAACAAGGTCATATTGCTCCTAAGAAGAGAAATCTGATGCCTTGTCCACTGTGCGCGCGCATATAAACGAGATATATCATGAAACGAGTAACCATGCCGAGGGATGTTCTGTACGTATATACACATGTACTTATCTTCTAGTGGTTAACATGTCTATATAGACAACACATGGACTCATAAGTCCCTAACTTAAACAATACTAATTTATAAAAAGCTAATTTATGTAAAATTTCATTCTGATGGCTGAGACAGCGGTTCTATTAGACCCACATTGGGTCTTTAAGATTTAGTTGGACTGTGACAATTTATTCGGTGAATTGCAATTCAGTCCCAAACCCGCACACTCCAATAACCAGGACCCAATAGGAGGCATGCAAGATACCTTTATTTTGATTTCCAGGCCTAGTCATTTGACTGTAGTGATCCTGGATTCTCTGGCTATAACAGGAAGTTCAGGAACACATGGTAACTTCCGGCCAGGCTCAGAATGACAGCACAGAGTTCCCAGTCTCACATCTTAGAGAAATCAGTGAACTGAAAAAAGGGGCCTTCCTAAATTCTCTTGGGCCCTATAAAGATATGTGTGTTTGGGAAAACTTGAGAATCATTTCTGGATGAGGGGGTGGGAGGTGGAAGGTGCTGTTTGCAGGTGGGGCTGAGAAAAACAGGATCTGTGAAATTCAAGTCAATGCACCACTCAGACTCTGAAAGTCGGGGAGTATAGAGAAAGACACATCTCAAGACATCATCCCCAGCTTCTGAAATAACTGACGTAACTTTAGCATTGCCCCATCTTTTCCCCACAAGCATTCTGTTTCCTCAGAGCTCAGCTCTGAACCTGAGGGCAGGCGCTGGTCGACAACCTGAGGGTGAAAGAGCGTGGATAAAAGATGTCTCTGGTACTTAAAGAAGAAGACGATGCTCCGGATTGCCATTGGGGAAGTGCCGGGGATTGAACTCAGGGCCTCACGTACGCTAAACTCACTCTCTAGCACCGAGGTACCCTCAGCCTTGGTCGGTTTGAAATAGGCCCATTTGTAACATTAGGAACTGAGCCTAGCGTCATGCTGTCGACCACCCCAACTACCTCTCGAGCCCTCAGTCTTTTTATGCAAGCGCTTGCTAAACGGTCAAGCTCACCTTGAACTCACTCTGAAGCTTACGTGGATCTTTACACTTGCAATCCTTATGCTTCGGCTTCCAGAGTAGCTGGAGTACAGGCGCATACCACAGGACCCTACTTAAACTTTTCTTATTTATTTATGAATTTGTAATTTTTTTTACTGTTTGAGCAGGTGATGTATGTACAAACATGTTTCCTGGCACACCTTATAGAGGCCAGAGGACAACTTTTGGAAGTCAGTTCTCTCCTTCGACCGTAGGGGTTCTGGACACGAAACACATGTCAGCAGGCAGCTGAACCACCTCACCAGCCTATTAAATATCCGCAATCTACATACCTGTCTTTACATCATATTGTTCCAAGTTCACAGTCATTATATAGTGATACCCTTGGAGCTCTGAGCAGGGCGGGACAAGAGTGGTCCTAACCCTGACCTCATTCTCCCAGAATTCAGTGTGTCTCATTTGCCTTTCAGAGCTATGACTATGGCTTTGGCAGTGACACTGCAGGAAAATATTGGCGGTAGATTTGGATGGCTCCCTCTTGAGGAGCAGTTTAATAAGTTGTCCCGTCCAAAGACACCCATTATGACTCTATCACCAATAAAGCAGAGAGAACGAGGCTAAAAATACATCCAATGGTGAGTGTGACTAATTTGGGGGTGTTTAATGCCACGTATCTCATAAAATGCAACCTATGTTAATATGGCATTCGGTGCAGTACATCTGTGAGTCAGTATCCCCTCAGCTGGACGTCCCTGCTCCAGTGCCACCGTCCACCAGCTTCTTTTTAGAAAATTAACAGGAAGGAAATCTCAATGCAGACATTTTAAGTCAGGAGTTCTTGTTTCTGAGGACTCACAAGTAAATGAAAATCTACGAGGGATGTAGAAGCGAGCCGACATGAAGACATGCAATTCAGACAGCACAGGACAACACGAGTGTCCAACACAAGAGAGTCAACGCCACAGTCCTAGTGGGAAACCCAGCATGAGCACATCTCTCCGAACGCAGTTGTCGGCTGTGGAGTTAGAATCATTGTGCTCACGACTATTCAGTTAAGATTCTGCTTCTGGAGAAGTGGGATTCCTAAGAAATGTTAGCGCGCTCAAAGTGCCGGAGTGCACTGCAGTCTAACAAAGATGCAAACAGGGACCACTGTCTATGTGAGGGATTAGCTTTGTACAAAAGATGCTGAACTTTACAAACGAAAGGAGCTGCAGGAAGAGATGGGGCAAAAACAAAAGGAAAGAAGAGGACAGGAGGCGATTCAAGAAAGGCAATAGAAGAAAAGGCTTGCCATGTGAAAGTGTCCCCCAGATTGTGAACAGAATCTCTGAAGTGAGGATTTGGATACATTTGGAAACCTGTTCACTGGTGAGTGAGCAGCTAGCTCATAGGTAGGTCCTATGTCAAACAACAACAACAAAACAAAAAATAAAATAAAACAACAAAATTTATTGGGCAAGAGCTATAACTAGGGTGAGAAACTTTGCTTTTTAGTCCTCTGTGCAGACACTTTTTTGAGGACCAGCTAACCCCTCAACTTCTACCTCAAATAACGCGACTTTTCAAAGAAAGTTGCCTGTTGGTAACAGCACAGTTCATATGAATTTGGTGTGTCTGCCTGTTTGTACCGGGGATTGCAGCCAAGTCTATGCAGGCTTTGGCAGTGTACTGCCGTTGAACCACTGTTATTTTTGAGTCAGGGTCTCAATAAGTTGCTCGGGTTGTCCTTGAATTGCTCTATAGCCTAGGAAAGCCCTAAATTTAGACACACCCCCCCCCCCCCCCCCCGCCTCAGGCTCTCAAGTAGCTGGGATCGCGAGCCTGGCTTGGAGTTTGGTTGGTTTAAATATTTAATTGGTCAGACTTTGTTCTCATTAAACAAGAGGTGGGCGTAGGATGCATGGTGGGGGGCGTGTCAGCAATCCCACCGCGGAGCCTCCTGGGGCCCTAGGGAGCACAGATGGCAGACCTTACCTGAGGTGACACAAGAGGCAAGAAAGAGATGTGACACAGTTTGCTGGCCAGCAAATGGAATGGAGAGAGAAGGAAAGGTGTCACAGGTGCAAGAACAGAACACGCACGCGCGCGCTCACACACACACACCAGCCAGCAACTCTTCTGCTCATTCTTTCCGGGCTCTTTTGTCCAGCAACAGTGCAGGGAAGGTTACCTGAGTCTCCTAGAGTGAAATAAGAGAAGTACAAAGAGAACAAGAGAGGAAACTCCTTGTTAGCATCCTTCGGTACAATTGCTCTTGGGTATTCGGTGAGCTTATTCTCAGTTTTAAGTTTGAAAACTTTCAGTTCTGGCTTCCACCTGACTCCATGACATTGGCTAGGTAAAACCAGCCATCATCCTTTTTGCTTTTTTTTTTAAAAAAGAATATTGCTCATGGGACCACAGGATATGAACATTGGCATCATCACAATCTCCTGCTTGCAATTAATGAGTAACTGAGGCAAGAGACAGTTAGGGGATGTACCAAGGTCAGCGACCCCAAACTCAGCTTCTGACGTGTGCATAGGGTGTCTATGCTAAGGTCACCAAATCTGAAGAGTGGATTACAAACACAACTCTGACCACTGGGCAGCATCTGACTGTGGGCCGGTTTCTTCAAGCATTTGATGGCTCCTCTCTTGCATTTCCCACACTGAACCCCACCAGGAGCTCCTTTGGGGCTGACAGGAAACATCTTCAGAGCAGTACGGAGCACTGAAGTGAGACTCATGCTCAGTGTGCTGTCTGTTCTGACATGCTCACCAGAAGCCAGGCTGACAAGCTTGGTTGGCAGCTGAGATGCTTGGGTACCAGAGTGATGTGACTGTCTCACACGGAAGACTAAGCTTTGTCAAATTCAGAAGTAACATCCGAGCGATTTTTACTTAAGAGCACAAAAGCTGGCCAGCATGTAGGAGGAGGTGTCTTCTTAATAGGGGGCCGAGGGTGCAGCCAGAGGCGTATTCATGCAGTTGGGTGGCTGAAGAACACTGAGGCAGAGTCAGGGAAAGAAGAGGAACGTTTTCTCTTCCACACAAACTGGCAGTCACTCAGACAGAGACCAAAAGCACACAACATACTGTGTGGAGAGGAACAAGTGCCAAGGGAAGGAGGTGGCGGGGATGGAGCTCAGCAAACCAGGTTCCCGTGAGGTCACAGATGGACGTTAAAAAGACCGTGGCAGGCAGAGACAGTCCTGCCCACCAGTGTACTCCTGGCGACCACTCAGTCTGATTCCAATGGCTTGGACACCAGGTCACCCAAACCATTTGATTTGACTGAACTTGAAAAGAAACCAAGAGGTGAATGTACTAAGGTATCAAGAGGGAGTTTGGCCTCATGGTGACAGCGGAACTGTGGGCCTGCTCTAAGGCAAAGAGCTAAGGGCAAACGTGCAGACACCATCACCATGTGACTTTGATTTACCCTGGCGAATTTTTCTATATTTCCCACAAATTTTAGAGAAAGCACAGGCTACTTTTATAGTCAATCTTCATAAGGTTTGTTTGTTTGCTTTTTGCTACCCCAAAGCAAACAAACCAAAAACACTAGAGGGGCACCACGAAGCATGCCGTCAATGAACACTGGAGGAGGGCTTGGGCTCTGTTCTCGTCCCAGCGAGGGGCTGACTTTACAGTCCTCTGTCAGTCTCCACAAGCTTTGCTTGACTTCATTTCAAAGGGCTAAGGGAGAGAGTCCTCCCACAGGGTCCTACTGCTGCCCACGGCAGCCACCACAGGCAGCCACGCTGCCACTCCAGATTCCGCAGTAAGGCAGGAAATACAGAAGTCGTGGTCAAGGGATCCCAAGGGTATTCTTTTGTCTGTCAATCAGTTGCCTTGGGTAGCCTGGGTGCTCATGGGAGAGAGCGGGGCATAGAAAGGAAGGCAAGAGATCTACTGGGAGAGGAAGGGGTGACCAAGATCCTTGTGTGCATACTAGAAGGCAAATGCTACTGACCTGATGCAGTATTAAGAAGGGGTGGGAATACGGTTCCGTGGGAAAGCCTCCGCATAGCGTATACAAGCCCCCCGTTCCAAGCCCCAGCACTGAGAAACAAACTCACACTTACTTCCTAATTCTCATAAGGACAGAGAGGGCATTAACAGCAACAGCTGCCTTGTGAGTTTGCATCTTTTCTTGGATGGCTAGGTGGAGAGAGGCCTCAAGACCGCAGGAAAGGGATGCATGCAGCAGACAAGTCAAACGGCCAGTGATGTTTTCTGAAGTCAACAACATTCAACGCAATGCCTGTGTTCATCTGACCTTTGTTCTGAGTCTCCAATTTAATCAATGCTACATATGTGCCTGGAGTTCCCAGGTAAACACACTTTCCCCTCTTCTGGGTCTCTTGCTAAAACAAAGGTTTCTGACCATGGTTATCTTTTGACCATCCCAAATGTAACGTGGCTGGTAGGAGAATAAACTTTTGGTAGTGGAAATAACTACGGGGCTGAGTCTAAAAAGATGAGCTGGAGCCTCTGAAGGGGACTGGACGCCCCTCCAGGGCTGCGGTCTTCCTAATGACCACATTCTACACGCCGAGAATTCAGTTGAACCCCACATTTGTTTCTTGATGAAAAGCCTGGCTGGCTCTCCCCATCCCCTAGACTCGCACAGATCTTGAGTACCTCCATGAGAAATGACTCTCCTGTAGGGTTCGATGACCTTCATGTCAATCCGCTGCTCCTGCTCTCCAATCACCACCGTTCTCCACAGCCGGTTGTCTTCTCGCTCCTCTTCGGCTGTGTACTCTGGAATAGACTCCGACTCCTGACCAGAGCTTTTGTGGGCTGTGGCGTCTTCTGGAAGGGAAGCACAGAGCGGGACTGAAGCAGCAAGACCTTCACAGGAGAAGCAGGTGAGAGAGCGGATTGGAAGCCACCTCCTCCCGCAGAGTCACCGGCTGGAGCTGCGCGCTAGGAACGGTTCGTTAGAGTCGGACAGCAGCCTGACCATACAACACCTACCTTACAGACTGAGGGAAGACCAGCTCCTCTCCTAAGCACATGTTGAAGCAGGAACAGTCGAGGTTAGAGTTCTGGTACCAACTCATCCTTGGTCAGACAGGTTAAACACTATAGCTCTTTCTGGTAGGGTGATAAATCAGGACCAGATAGACACCTTTAGCTTGCTGAGGCCATCTCCCCTGGTGGCCGGCTGGTTGCTGGGAGTATTTGAGCGCCATTACTTAATGACACTAGCTCTTCGATCTGTTGTAAGACTCTAAGAACAGGGATGAAACCCCTTGTACTGTTGTGAAGCTAGGGCACATGCTCGTACAGAAGGCCGATAATATGTCCCACACATTGTTCCAGAATATGCCAGAGTAAAGATTATACACTGTATGGGAAACAAACAACTTTGTAGACCGGAAATTTCCTGACAGCTTTGAAACTTTTGGGTTCACGAAACAACAATAACAATATAAAACCCCACTGAGTGTTCTTTGGTCAAAGTTTATTCTTATGCATTCAAGATAATAACCATGTTCACTGAAAGGCTAGGCTGCAAGTTATAGACATTTCTAGCAGAGGCACGGATGAGCCTTAGCAAAGGGTGTTCTTCACAGCGCCGAACAATCTGAAGGGAAAGATTATTTATTACCTTCCCTGTGACTCCGAGATGAGGCTGTTCTTATTTCCACATTGTGGGAAAAGACCATTTAAATGACACTGTTCTTTGCCTTAGTCCCTCCTGTGTCACAGTGACAAGGACAGCAGGGCTGTGTCTCTCACCCACTGGTACTGGCACGGAAGTAGATGTTAAAATGGACATTATTGGTAACAAAGCTAGCAACAAATACAGCTGATGCTTGCACCTCTGCAAAGTATCCTAAACTACCGATGTCCCTTGAATGAGACTCCCAGTCTGAAGAGCCCGTGAGCTCCTGGGGCTAGGGAACTTTGTCTGAATTATCTATTCACCTCACTGACGTGTCTCACAGCGTAGAAACCTCCTCAGAATATGCAAACTCCAGGAAGGTGAGTGGGTAAATGCAGGAAAGCTTGAGCAAGCTCTTGAGACTAGAGATAGTCTATAAGGACCCACAACACAGCACTGCATCCTGCTGGAAGATTTGGCAGTCACTAAACACCCACAAGTACCTAATTACTCAGGACTCGGAATCGGAAACTATAGTTCAGCTGGGAAGCCAGCCTGGCCTTCTTTGACAATAGTAACAGGCACACCACCCACACAGCCCTGGCTCATTTTGGTTCCACTATGGTCCCAGCAGCACTCAGCAGCTTGTTAAGGATGGAAGGCAGCAACCATGGCTTCTGATCAAGTACCATGTCACCTGGGCAGACCCACTGATTTGTCTGGCACTTCTTCCTTCTTCTTTCCTTCTGCTTGGGTTGGGAAACTTAGCTACTAATCCCAGACTTCTTGGGCTCCATATTTCTCATCTTGTCCCTGATAACTAAGAACTCTGGGCTCAGACATAGTATATATTCTGATGTCCATGTACACATGTGCCCTTGACATCAGTAAACTCACGACCCTCCAAACCCTCCATGAACTTCCATGCATCTAAGGTTCAGTGAACTCAACACTTGCCAAAGTTGCTACAGTATGTTTGGTAATCCAACCTGCTCTAGTTTATCCTTGGCAATTATCCTTGGCAATTTCTGTAGGGTGATAGTGAGGAGATATCTATATCATATATATATATATACATATATATATATAAATTCTGCATGATATATACATACACATGACATATACACGGTATACATATACATAATGTACATATTTCTCACACATGCCGTGGGATAATGCTCTTGTACACTGTAAAGATTTGTCACTCGTATTAGTTTAATAAAATGCTAACTGGCCAGTAGCCAGGCAGGAAGTATAGGCGGGGTGACCAGACTAAGAGAATTCTGGGAAGAGGAAAGACAGAGAGTCAGTCACCAGCTAGATGCAGAGGAAGCAACATGAGAATGCCTTATTGAGAAAAGGTACCAAGCCATGTGGCTGAATGTAGATAAGAATTATGGGCTAATTTAAGTTGTAGGAACTAGTTAGTAATAAGCCTGCAATTTATAATTAACATAAGTCTCTGTGTTTCTTTGGGACTGAACGGCTGCAGGGTTGGGCAGGACAGAAGCTTCTGTGTACACACATATATATGTATACATGATACATATAGACTCAAACCTGTATCTACTCACATATTAGCTAAAACTGGATCATATACCTAATGTAAAATGAGCAAGCCATAAAACTCCCAGAGGACAATGTAAGAGAAAATCTAACTGACCTTGACATAGAGACGGTATTTATATACGTATGTATTTGTTTGTTTGTTTTATTAGGGCTTGCCACGCTACCTGGGCTGCTGTAGAGCTTATGGGCACAAGCATGCCTCCTACCTCAGCCCCCTGAATAGCTGGGCCTGAAGGTATGAGCCACCAGGCCTGGGTCTGCAATTGGTGACTTTTTAGAGATAACACTAAATTCATGGAATAAGCAATTGACAAACTAGACTGTGTTAAAGTTGACAACATCCTCCATGAAAGACAGCACCAAGAGAAAAAGAAGGCAGCTACAGACTAGGAGAATGTATTTATAGAGTACAAGTCTGCTAAATGATTATTATCTGGAATACACAAAAATATTTAAGACTTAATAAGAAAAGGAACTATTTGATTAACAATTAAGTGGTATAATGGTGTTGGGGGTTGTACCTCAATAGGAGAGTGTTTTCCTACTATGTACAGGGCTGTGTTCGGTTCCTAGCAACACACACACACACACACACACACACACACACACACGTGCACATCCACACATCCACATACACACAGACTCACAAAAGAACTGAGCACACGTCCCTTCATCAGTGGAGGTATAGATACCAAGGAAGCATAAGAAAAGATGTATGACATCATTTATCAACAGAGCATTTTTAAAGATGACACAATAGTGAATTATTGCTATGAATAAACTAGTATTTCAAAGGCCAAATCCAAAACACTGACAAGCAGCAAACTCGTGAGAATACAGCACACTAGGGACGCTCGTGTGTTGACAGCGGGGACGGAAATGTTCCAGGAACTTTGAAAGACAGTTTGGAAGTTTCTAGTAAATAAGCTTCTATTAATACAAAGTCCAACTCCTTTGCAATTAGCCAACAGAGAGGGTATTTCCAGATAGAAATCTTCACGAGTAGCCCCATTCATACTTGCCAAAACATCGAAGCAACCGAGATGTCTGCACAGGCACACATACACTTGGCACACACACGGGCACACCCATGCACATTTTCCTATTGTTTCTTGTTCAAAGGTGCACGATTATTCACTTGGTATAAAAGTTCAGGACCAGATTGTTTTTGAGGTGTTAGTCCTAATGTTTCAGAATTTGGGAACTGTTACACCGCTGTGCTTCCATCTACTTCCTTTCTCGATGACATAAAAAAAGAATCATTTAAGAAACAGGGGGAAGGGATATGGTTCAGAAGCAGAATGATTGCCCAGCATGGGGATGGCAGGGGAAGAATGGCAGGGGTGTGGGGGAGGAAAAGGAGAAGAAGAAGAAAAAGAAGAAGAAGAAAAAGAAGAAGAGGAAGAAGAAAAGGCGATAGATGGAGGACAGGAGAGGGGTAGAAGGAAGGAGGGAGGGAAATAGGGAGGAAGGAAGGAAATAAGTAAGGGAGAAAAAGAGAGGGAGGGAGGGATGGAGGGAAGGAAGAGAACATTCTTCAGATCACTTTAATGACTTGTTCGTGTCATGAAACCGATAACACAAGTCAGTCGGCAGTAAAGATGCTCTCTTCAGCACACTGAGCTAGCAGTACCTTCCTGATCTTAATAATTCTGTTATAACTTTATGAGCCCTATTTTTATTTCCCAGCTATTGTAGATGTGTTCAGAGCTTATCTAACTCTCCCCAGGTCCTCCACATCAGTCCTCAGCATCATCTTCTCCTCCTCACTAAGAACTTTTCCTCAGACAGTTAGATCTTCACAAGGGAGGCGTCAACCTCACCTTTTCCTCCTGGCTTCCTGAGATGACTTAACATAGGCACTCTTGAATGCTCTGACCACAGTGTGTGGGCTCAGCATGGTCTTCCCATGGGGAGCACACAGCTGGGAAAGCTGGCTGGCTTTCTACATCATGACACCTCACAGATGACAGGAAAGCTGTCAGAAAGTAAGATGCCTGACATTTTCTGGTTTTAGCAAAGACATCCAGCACATAGCTTCAGAGGTTAAAGTCCCCCTGGTGATAAACAACAGACAGGAACTTAATTTGAGTGTAAAATCTCAGTATAGGGGCTAGAGAGATGGTTGGGCAGTTAAGAGTGCATATTGCTCTTATGGAGAAGACCCAGGTTCGGTCTTGTCAATAGGTTCACAAGCACCTGTAACACCAGGTCCAGGGGATCTGTCTACCTCTCTTGGACTTCACTGGCGTCTCTGCACACAGATGTACATATTCACATGTACACACACAGAGGGATAATTGATTAAAAAAAATGATAAAAATAAATCTTCTAGGAAATCTCAGTGTACAAGAATACAAAGGAAAGATATTGTTTCAGACATCCAAGCTTAACACGTCATCACTTGCACACTGAGCACGGAAACAAGAACTTGACTTCATAAAGCTGGCTGCTTGTTGGTGCAGAGAAGGGATGCTGAAAGATGTGATTCTGACCAATTGAGAGGATGCTGGCGTGCCTGTCAGCCAGAATACTGTCATCAGCATTAGAAAAGCTTCTTAGGTGGGGTCACTAAACATCACTTGGGGACCCTGACAGTCTAAAAGCATAGACACATTGCCTTTGATGGTATTATCTTATCAGAAGCACATAGGTCAAATCCTTTTCCGTCTTTCCATGTCCATGATAAAGAGACTTCATCATGCCTGAGTTAGCTCTGGATTGTGAGAAAAGTTACGGTTGGTTTGGAAAACAGAAAGAGGCCATCATTTCCTTCTCTGGGTATTTTGTTTCTATGGTTGGTATCATGAAGCAATGAAAGCAAAACCAAGATTGCCCTTCATATGAACGACTAGCCCCCAAGCCCTTCATTATCCATGTAATTCTGATTTTGTTGGCACAAAAATCAAGCCTTAATTATATTTCCCAACTGTTTGGACACAGCTATAAATGAAAACTGATTGCAGGGGAACAAGTTGCATCTTTTGATAGAGAGAGTAAATTGTTTTTCCATACGCAAACTGGCAATGTTAGGCAAATTCCCTGGAAAAGCATTTGGCCATCAGTTACTAAATAAAAAAAAAAAGGGAATGGGTGTAAAAATCCTTAAGGCTGTAAAGGACAGGTTCTCAAACAATGTGACCTATGGAATTACACATGTTGTGGTAGTTTTAATGCAATTGGCCCCCATAAGCTCTAGGGAGTGGCACTATTCAGAGATGTGACTTTATTATAGTAGGTATGGAATCATTGGAGGAAGAGTCATTGTGGGGGTGGGCTTTGAGTTCTCATGCATGCTCAAGTTATGCTCAGTGTCCAGACCACTTCCTATTGCTTGAGGGTCAAAATGTAGGACTCTCAACTCCTTTTCCAGCACCATGTCTCCCTGCAAGCCACCATGTCACACATGATAATGGACTAAACCTCGGAAACTGTATGCCACCCTATTAAACGTTTGTCCTTTGTAAGAGTTGCACTGACCACGGCTTCTCTTCACAGCAATAGAAACCCTCACTAAGACACGTGTGAGCTTTCACCCTGGCTTTCCTGTACACAGGCTCAGTTTAGGAAAAGGTGCCCTCCCTTTTTACTCCTCAACCTATCCGGCAGGGAAGCAGCAGGAGCAGGAAGTAAACCCAAGGCTTGGTTTGAATGTTGTCACAGCCCTTTACAGATGTACAACTTTAGGTGATTGTGCAACCTCTCTGTGTCTCTGTGTTCTCAGCTACAATGTGGGAAAACACTCTGTTTTACAGAGTAGACATGAGGCCTACAATAATTATACCTACAATACTTGGGATAGATGCTACACATTCCAGTAAAAACTACAAAAGTGTCCTTTCAGTAACATAAAATATGACCAATTTTAGCCAGGCAGTGGTGGCGTATGCCTTTAATCCCAGCACGTGGGAGGCAGAAGCAGGCAGATCTCTGTGAGTTCGAGGCCAGCCTGGTCTACAAGAGCTAGATCCAGGACAGGCTCTAAAGCTACAAAGAAACCCTGTCTCAAAAAACAAAAACAAACAAACAAAATTATGACCAATTTTGAAAACCTGTACTCAAAGTATCTGACAGGCAGACTGGCAATTTACCTGTTATCCTATCACTTGACCTTTTCTTGAAAAACAAAATAAAACAAAAGTAAACCCAAACCCAGGAGGAATTAAAAAAACAAACACCCCCCTTTAGGATGTATGATATGCTGGCCTCAACATTCTTACTTGAAAAACTCCCAAGACACGAACATTGTAAGCACTTACTTCATACACTAGGTCTAAAATGTATTTTTATTCTTATTTTCCTCTGCAGTGGTTATCCATGTCTGCTGTACAGAATATAGCTACTCACACAAACTCTGTGTTTCTCAAAGTTCCTGCTTTGGCTTCCTTATTTGTTTGTGTAAGTGCTTGGATACACGTACCTTTCATTTGAGATCAAAATGAATTTTAGAATTCAACAGACATTAAAATCTGGCTCTCTGAGTAAGACCTAGAATAACTGAGGTCATTAAGCTGCCTCTTCCCACATGACTATATCAACTACCTAAAAAGAGCCATGTCAGCAAGTGGCAGCCTTAATTACCGGCCTGCTCCGACACCACCACTTGGCTTGACAGATTTACTATTTATAAATAAGAGGCTCAGAGGCAGTGTGACAAAGCTCTCCCTAGAGACAGCAGAGCAAAAGGCAAGGGGAGGGAGGAGCCAGCCACAACCATCCTCAGTGTGGTTTCAAGTCAGTATATTAGCCAGAGAAGAGCTGGGACCACAGGGGGCAACGGGACTAGATGGAGGGGTGAGAGCAGGTGGGATGACTCTGGGATGGCAGGGAAAGATACCAATTCGAGATGTTCTTTCACTTTATGTTTGTGTATTTTTAATGGTCAGATCAAATATCCGGATTATTACAATCAGCTCCCAACATCAGTAGATTCAACCGTCTGCAGGTAGAAGGTACATGGGGGAAACTGGCATTTGTATTGAATGTGCACAGAAGCTTTTCATTTTCATTATTCCCTAAAATATATGTTTATGTCATATTAGATACTGTGATTAGTCTAGAAATGCTTTAAAGTATGTGGAGGAGGTATGTGGGTTACATGCAAATGCATATACATGTAAGGGACTTGAACAGCCTTAGATATCGGTGTCTGTTCGGGGTCTTGGAACCTATCCACTGCAGGCCACGTGTGTGAAGAACACTACAGAAACAAACCCATGAGTGGACAAAAATGTAGCATAACTCGATGTATGCACAATAAGATGGCAATAGTCCTGGACCTACTTCTACTATTCTTCTTTTTTTATAACTCGAGGGAACAAAAACTTAACCTATGTCAATCTACAAAGGTTCTGGATGTTTTCCCCATAACTCAATGACATTGGGATGACTTAATCTGCTAACTGGCGGATTTCCCAACCATATTCTCCCGTGAATGGGATTTCCTGTGTCTAAAACCCTGAGCATCCTTTAACCACTGTGTCTCTTTGTAAGACCAGAAGAGCTTTTTCAACAAGGAGTAGTAGTTAGAGCCAAAAGTCTCACTTTGACTTTCAACTATAATTCCAGGAAAACTTCCTGGCTCTAAGTGGGACTAAAACGGCAGTGCTGCTAGAGGAAGTGAGGGCTCTGTATCTGTCCGCTCTTCTGAACAAGCCAAGTGTCACCAAGCAGGAGAAGGGATTTGCAGGAGACTAGCACGTCTGTCATGGCTGATGGTCCTGAATCTGGCAACCTTTCATTGCCTTGTTTTTACCTCCATCAGCTCACACCATCCCTTCTTTCTTCTTTTGGTTTGAAGATAGAGCATCAAACACCATGGAGTCTCTTCCCGGAGGAAGCATGCATTCTAGTGGGGGACAATCCAGTGAGCATCTCGGTCAGATAAGCAGGCACATCACTAAATAACAGTTTTAACAAGGGATGTGCAGACAGTAAAGGAACCCTGGCATGGAATGTGAGGAGCTGGGGGTATACAGGTGAGGCACATCTGTCACAGCATGAGTCTTGGAAGGCCGAGGAGGAGGTGGCACCTGTGGAGAGATGTAACTGGCCATGGAAGGGTCTAAGGGAGTGAGCAATTTAGACAGCGAGAGTGTATATAAAGGAATAGGTTACTGATTCCTTCTCTTTAAATTTGGTGTTCCAGATTCCAAGTCTCTTTCTTTGTTCACACCGCTTCAGTTTTCCCATAACAGTGCAGGGCATAGTGTAGGGATTTCACAAATGGGTAAGAGTTGCCGACGAGTACCCTCTGGGGACCCAACCTACTCCATCATACTCTAAACTGCCAAGCATGGACATCCCAGAGCAAGGTTCAAAAGAGGCTTGAGAGTCACGGAAAGTAGCCACTTGCACAAAAATGAAAGATTTGTTTGTGATGTTACAAAGACAACTGTTTATTTACATAACTTTGGCCTCATTACCTCAGCAACTTACCATGGCCAGTGTACTCAAAAGAATCTGCTTCATCGGGGGTATCGAGGTCATCCACATTGATGTCAATCTCATCTGGACTGTCCAGGTTATCATCAGAGAGAATCGATCCTTCACTTTGGTCCAGAGAAAGGTTGATATTTGGGGCTGTGAGCTTGATTCTCCGAGAGTGACTGCCATTGAGATCCAGGGAATTTGGAGGTTCTAAAGAAGAAAGTAATAGCAACATTAGATTACACACGTGATTCTCAAGAGGGGAACTGGACCTCAAGGGAAAAAATCCTAACAATGGATTTAGACCCTACCCCAATATATCCCTTATGTCCTTCCTTCCTTGTTTGTTTTCTAAGATAGAATCTCATAGGTAGCTCAGGCTGACCTTGAACTTGCAACCTCACCCTCCAGTTCTGGGATATAAGTGTGAGCCATTCGGATACTTTTTCTAAGTTGATGTGTATGATATGTATATTACATGTGCAGGTGCCAGAAGATGGCCTCAGACCTCCCTGAAGCTGGAATTACAGGTGGTTATAAGCCACCCAACATAGATGCTAGGACTTAAACTCTGGCTTTCTCGATAAGCAGGAAGTCCTTCAACTGCTGAGCCATCTCTCAAGCCCCCTCCTCCTGGACTCTCTTCTAGAAAGCGTCCCTCAGTGTTGGCTTCCATTCAGCATCTCATCCGTATGAAAGCAGGACTTGGGAGATGCTGCTATCTGGGTAGGAACTTTGGTTTTTTTCCTTGTTTTGTTTCTCTGTTTAGGTTTTAGAAGTCGGTATGCTAGAATACTAAGCTAAATTTTATGGGAGTTTATTGTACACCAAAACAGTTAAGCATATATATTTTCTTATGGTTCTTGTAGATGTTATTACTGTAGAATGGAGGTTAAGAACATCGATCTACTAAATTCTCAGAAAATGCCAAAGCAACTACATTATCTTCAATAAACTTTACTGTTTTAAATTTTTTAAAGCCTTAAGCCCATTAGTTTAGATTCTTTGGACTCACTAAGGAAGTCACCACATAATATCACCCTACATTACTGTCTATAACATTCACAATGACCTAGGCTAAGGCTGACAGAGGCAGCTCCCACCCTCTCTTAGCAGTGTGTGTCTCTGCTCATGAGCTTTTATTGGCTCAAAACAGAGTTGAGCCAGTCCTTTTTGTACAAACACAGAAAGAGATATCTATTGTGATCTAAGAAGAAATAGTTGGTCTTTATCTCTGGTCCCAATCATTCTGGCTCCTAAATTCCTTGGAATTTCCCTGGCATTCCTTTTCATTTGTAATCCCTATTTGAATTATACTGATTTTAAGGACTGATTCTGAACATCTCTGCTGGGTTCTGCAGTAGTAGATGGACTATCTATTGTGCATGGGGCCCTCGATTCCATTCTCTTTACCACACACAAAAAACAAAACAAGAACAAACAAACAAAAACCAGAACGATCACAGAACTCTTGAGTCATGTCTGCTGACTGACACTTTGGTCAGGACATTAGAGCACTAGGAGGGGGTGTGGTCCTTATTTCCTCCCTGCCTTCAGAACAAAAAGCACGAACATCAAAACATCTACAGAACATGTCAAAACGGAGTTGTGAGGGCATTGTAAGGGTGTTCACATGCTATTAGTCCAGTCAAGCAAATGAACGGGGTGCAGGAATGTGAACTTTTAAATCCAACCAAGTCTGAAAATGCCCCTAACATCCTTGAATGAATGCAGTAGCCTCAACTGTCACAAAATGGCAGGAGAACGTTTTACTTGTACTTAGACCCAGCCATCTGGCGCATGTACTCTGACGGTGGATAGGCTAAGGTGATGGCCTTTCCTATGCCGATCCTCTTCCTTTGCATGTAACTTTAGAATGTCTGTTGTCTACAGCTTCTGCCTTTCAGTGCCCCTGTACCATCTGAGCTTCTGTGGAGCACTCTGTCCTCTTGTTTTCCAAACACATCATTCCCAAGACACCAGATAAAGTTATTTGCTTTTACAGTTTCTGATTTTGCCTTGATTGGCATTACATGGTGTCAGATAGAGTTTGAAGTGGTTCACATGCCCCCTGTACCCTTGGGCTACCAAGGTCATAACATGCCCGAGGTCTTTTGTTTTGTATCAGTTCCCTGGTAACTTTACATCACATGACTCCCTTCTGCTACCAAACCTCCTATCTCTTTGGTTAAGGTTCCAAAACTTTATTTGGGTTGTTGCCTGTGGCTTAGGAAGAAAAATCTATTGGCTAGGTACCTAGTGCAGGCACGCCTCATGTGGTGGGAATTTGGAATTTTACAAAGGGGAAATTTTTTAAAATATTTATTTTATCCAATGTATATGAATGCTTTTTGTCTGTATGTATATGGGTACACCATGTTTGTGCAGTACCCTCTGATGCCTTGGATCTCTTCGAACAGGAGTTGTGGTTGTGAGTTGCTGTGTGGGTGCTGGCAGCCGAACCTGGATCCTCTGGTGTTACAGAAGGGGACACTTGTTAGTCCTGGCAGCCTGGCAAACTTAACCCGAAATAACCACACAGAAACTGTATTAATTAAATCACTGCTTGGCCCATTAGCTCTAGTTTCTTATTGGTTAATTCTTACATCTTAATTTAACCCATTTCAATTGATCTGTATATTGCCATGTGGCAGTGGCTTACCAGGTAAAATTCCCAGTATCTGTCTCCGGTAGATCCACGGAGTCTCTCTGACTCCACTCTTTTTCTTCCCAGCATTCAGTTCCATCCTTCCCACCTACCTAAGTTCTGCCCTATCAACAGGCCAAGGCAGTTTCTTTATTCATTAATGCTAATCACAGCATACAGAGGGGACTCCCACATCACTCTGGAAGAGCAGCCAGTCCTCAACACCACTCAGTCATCTCTACAGTCCCAGAAAGGTAACTTTCACATTGACTTACGGTTGTGGTTTGAATGAGAAATGCCCCTGCTGGCTCATGTATTTGGGCACTTGGGGTGGTACTGTTTGGGGTAGATTACAAAAGCTTTAGAAGGTGCAGCCTCGGTGGAAGAAGTACTTCTCTGGAGGCAGGTTTTGGGGGCTGGTAGCCTTGCCCCATTTCTTATTCTTTTTCTGCTTCTTGTGTGGTTGGTGGAGATGTGATCTCTCAGCTTCTTGTTCCTACTGCCATGCCTTCCCCACCTCCTGAACACAGAGTCCTCTGGAATGGTTTGGTCACATTATTTTATCAGAGCACCAGGTGTGGGGTCTTGCCCCAAGGGTAGCCTTTCTATTGTTTCAGTGCTGAGCAGGAAGCCTCTCCTTAGCAGCCTTTATCTCTTTAGCAAATACAGGCTCTTCCACACCTATCTTGGGGGAAGTATCAAGCTTCCTAGTATTCTTTCTTTCTGCACCACTTGCTTTTTTCCCACTGTAGATCTGCATAAGAATAATCAATAAGTAACAAGGCCTCAGCCGCTGTTATTTCAGAACATTTCTTCCACCCAAGAAAGTAGCCATTACTTTTTCATTTGTCCTCATGCAAAAGCCAGATCCTTTTGGAAAACAGTGCAGTTGCTAATAAAGTCCTTGCTCCCCCACTTGAAACCTCTTGAGCCTGGCCTCCACCCTTCCCATTAGTCTCAACACTGCTGTCTTCCAGGCTCCTACTCAAAATGGCTCTTCAAGCTCTGCTTATAGCATTCAGTGGCTTTTGCCAACTTCCGAACTCTTCCAGAACCTGGCACCAAAAAGTCTATCGTCATTAAAGTGAAATCTTCCAGAAAGTATTGCCTCCACATCTGCACCCAGATGTGGTCTGGGGGGTTCAGAGCTGCATCTCAAGCTAGAAGTCTAATTTGGAAGTATGTTAAGAGTGGCAGGCAGTACATGGCATGATTTTGAAGGCAGAAAGGGTTATAATTTATTTATTTGCTTGTTTGTTTAACTTTACAGGAGCCCACAGTTAAAATATGTTGGCTTTTAAAAAACCATTTTTTAAAAAAAAATTTAAAAGACTTTCTTTAAAGTGTTGATAATGTTAATGACTGTGGGACTTTTAGAGTTGTACTATATTTTATATTTTGGTATTAACATGAGGTCTTGGGTTAAATAAGAAAGGAAATGGGTATGGCTTAAAGTGTATTTGAGCATCAAGCTGACAAGGAACAGAATCTCTTAGCTTCACCTATTAGGCTGTTATCCTCTCTGAGGGAGTCTTAATTGTGAGGTTATCCTGATAAACAGGTCTGTGGGCATGGCTGTGGGGCATTTTCTTGATGTAGGAGGGCTCAGCGCACTGTGGACCATTCTGAGGCAGGGATTCTTGGGCTATATATAAGAAAGCTATGTAACATGCACCAAGGCAGCAATCCAGTAAGCAACATTCCTCATGAGGCTCTTTCGGTTTGGACTTGGGCTCCTGTCCTAACTCCCCTTCACGATCTGAGTGACCTGAAAGTGTAAGCCAAATAAAACTCCTCCTCGCCACGTAGCTTTCATACAAGGTGTTTATCACAGCCACAGGAAGCAAACAGGATGGGCAACTGCTACCCTAAGAAAGCTACCGAGCAGTCACTAGTCCAGAAATACAGGTTCTCTTACAGCTAAGCCGTGGGTCCTCATCTTGAAGATTTCTGACTTGAACAGATTAAAATTCCTCTTGATGGTTTGAAACTAGAATGCATTCTTTGAAGCTCTGGCTATTCCAGAATGAGTTTTCCATGTACTCAATTAGTACAGAGTTATAAAAACAAGCAACTTAAGCAGCAAGCACACTCTCTCAAGCGCCCTCCTTCCCCACTGCCGATTCTTCCCTGAGCTTCCTTGCTAAGATATGAAATTTGAGCACTGTCAAAGATCCGACTGTAGAGGTTGAGGGATGTATCTCAGTGGCATGGTGCTTGGCTAGCATGAATGAAGCCCCAGGTTCAGCTGCCAATACTCTATGTCCCCCAACAAGAAATCACTCTGTCTGACTCAATAACCTTTTTAAAAGCCAGGTTTAATACGATAATGTTAAAACCTTCACTTATCTGTCTCAGATAAAGGTTGAACTACATGCTGTCGCTGATGAATCCCTGGTGTTGAGACATAAACAAATGGATTGCTTGACAGTTTGAGCTTTCAATGATGACACAACAGCCTTGCTTTGGGGAACTGTATCACTCAGTTTACTTACTTGAAGAAGACAGGGCAAAGCGATGTATTGCATTTGGGCCTTGGAGTGACTTTAGCACAGATATCTGA